CCCCCCTTGTGTTTCATCCCTTGCCCTTCACTCCCCCTTGTGTTTCATCCCTTGCCCCCTCGAGCCCCCTTCATTCCCCTCGAGCCTCCTTCATTCCTCCCTTGTGTTTCATCCCTTGCACCCTCGAGCCCCCTACCTGCCCACGCGTTCATCGTGTCCTTCAGGCCCAGTAACCCCGTCATGCTCCGTAGACATTCAACTCCTTTCACCGAACCCCGTCACGACTCTCAACTGCCCAACCTTCCGTCTCGACTCCTCGCCCAGCCTGGAAAACCCCGGCCCACCCCGACGGGATGGTGGCCTCGCGGGTCTTTTTGTCGATGGCCTTCCAAACGATGCCATAGGCGCCGCGGCCCAGCTTTTGAACGATCTCGTACCTGTCCGGCGCATGCGCCGCGCCAAGCGAAGCGAAGCAGCGAAGGAAGAAGGAACCCTCGGGTCGATGGAAGTTAAAAGGAACCCGCACAGGAGGGTGCCGCAACTGGCTTGGTCTTGGACTGTTGACCTGGAGTCTTCATAGGAACTGATTTGGAGTCGTTGTGCATGGAGTCCGTGCCGTTCGGACGGATGTTCATACAATCACACAATTCTTGGAAAGTTGCCCGCCAGGGAACTCGAAAGAACCAAAAAATAACAGGAACGGAACAGGCTTGAGCGACCAGCTGAATATATAACAAGAGGACAACAGTGTGTAGCAGAGTGAAGGTTGGGCAAATGGAAGAACAAACATCAAGAACCAGAACACGGATGGAAGAATGGACAGCCAAATGGGGTTTGAATAGACCTGTCTGCAACCAGCAGGAGCACTTCCTGAGCACATGCCTGTCAATCTCTTCGCTCATGGTGACAGGGCCCGCCCTGCAGTCGGGCTGAGGATTTCGAGCGCGTGCAAATCCAACACGCCAGGTGTTGAAAAATATAGACTCACTCACCCAGTGCGCAACAGAGTCCACTGTTCTGCAACTTGATGCATGAAATCGGCGCAAATGATGCTCACAAGCAATCGCAGAAAAAGGCGACAGCCCGCCAACATGACTTTAGCCACGAGAAATCCCACCTCTTTATATAGCCTCTCTAAAAGACTTTCTGCCGCTGAGTTGTCTTCGGCTTGAGTTTGTTCAGATGCTGGCTTCCCACATGGAGGTCAGCAGCAACCAACTCAACCCACCAACAACCCGCTTGGCAACTCATCCTCTTCTGGTTCACTCGTGCACTCTCGAGTGCACCTTCCAGGACAGTCTCCCATCCTGATCTCCTCACCTCCGGGCACTCACTTCCCCAGCCTTCGCCGCTCCGGGGCGGGGTGAACCACAACGTGGGGCGTGCCAACCTGGAGCTTCCCCGGGCGAAGCGTGGCGCCGTGTCCGTCCATGCCAAACATAAGGTATGCTTAAAAGAATTTGGCATGCCTTCCGCGAAATCCCAATCCTTCGCATGTGTGGGAAAAAATGGGAAACACCAACAAGAAGCCCAATTCCACGTCGAGTTCGAAACACGCAACACCGCAAGCGCTGCATAAGAAACACTTAATCATGGCTTCTTAGCCATACAACAAGATCCAACCTGCTAACCCGTTCAAAACATACCGCATAAGAGTTGTCTCGCGATCAACATTCAATGCCCACATTCAGCCGGCCTGATTCGATTGGCAACTGCGAAGTGACACAGCCAAAATGTTGCAGGAAAGGAACCATGTGGAACCGCTAAACGTGGAGTCGCGGAGGCTGCCAGTCATCCAACATGTTTTGCCCCAAGGTTTCACCATGCAGCTGTTTGGGCTACACCCTTGTCACATGGCAGTTGGTACTACTGGCATCTAGGCACTAGAATTTCTTCTTGATAGAAAGGAACTATGCAAGGACCACGGTTTTTACCCAAGGGCAGGGACGGCAAAGTCAGCGCGTTGTCGACCCACACGTTGCTTTCAATGTCGAACCCATGCCACTTTTTTTCCACAGATTTGTCAGGTGGGCGCTGCAGGCGGTGCGGCAAGCGGCTGGTTCTTTTCTCCTGGAACAAAAACAAACAGATTCAAAGGGCTCCCGAACTTTCGCCTCCAAACACCTACTTTAACTGCCAATGGCTTCTACAAAGTCTGCACCAGAGACAAACTGGGAATCTCTGTCAGGAGTCGCATTGTGCCCAATGGCTGCAAATGCAGCCCAGGTTGGCATCTTTCCCGCCATCTTCCAGCAACTTAAAGCTGCATTACCATACAACCAGCATGCAGCTCATCTCAAATCTCTCCGCACAGCCCACCAGCAAGCCCGTGGTGCGTGCTTTTTTGGGGGGCAGGTCCTTAGAGCATCTGTTCTGGTCCTTAGAGCTGACCAAAAAATGGACGGATAAAACCTGTGGAAGCATCCTAACACCCCAATCCACTTGCACAAGCGCGGCAAGCGCCGCACAAGCGAGTCCCCCGTGGACCCGTCCTGGTCATGGTCAGTCCAATTGAGCCGCGCCGAATGCTTGTTGTGTCCGTTCAGCTCCTTGCAAAATGCCATGTCTCACGAAGAAGCTGAAACTAGATGATATTCTCCTCTAGTTGGTTCCTAGGAAGCCAGCAGGGATGGCGCAACACGCTTCTCCAGCTTGGATTTGATTCTTGAGAATGAACAAACCAAATGGCGCAACAGTTCATCAAAAGAAACAATTGAGTTCTTACGCCAGTGCTTTGAACAAAGCACTTTCAACTCACAACGTGAACCACGGAAGGCTGCGTGAACTCGCACTGACTTTTCTCCTTCCGTGTGACGTGGGTGATTGGAAGGTTGACTTGACGCGCACCAGATCTGGTGGCATAGATTTCAAATCAAAACAGAATAAGCAGAAATCACATCCAGACCCCTGCAATCAAATCGTTAGCTATACAAATCTTCTCTGACATCTGGTCGAACTGACCTTTTTTTTTTTAATGACTGCTGTCAGCGGATCTAAACGGCTGGCAGCACCTATTCACAAGCGGCAGTGTGCAAGACATCACTGAGATCAATGCACTGCCGAAGCTGCGATCGAAGCAGCGCTGCAAGTGGACAATCATGCCACATCATCATCCAGGGATCTTGGTGCAAAGCGAAATAAAGTGAGCTCTTGTGCAAAAAGAGGATCGATCTATCTGATGGCGCAATCACGGCCATGGGTGGAGCATCTGGCACCACCCCCACCAATCCTTGGATCCAGGATCGATGGGGAGTGGTGGGTGGGTTCAAAAAGGATGGTAGAGCTCCTTGAGCCAAAATGGCATGATCATGCCATCGGCTCAAATAGAAAGAACGAGTGAGTTGACCTGAACTCTGAAATTGACCTGCTTATCCCTAACCAACCAGACCGATGATAAGCTGACCAATTGAGTTCTTACGCCAGTGCTTTGAACAAAGCACTTTCAACTCACAACGTGAACCACGGAAGGCTGCGTGAACTCGCACTGACTTTTCTCCTTCCGTGTGACGTGGGTGATTGGAAGGTTGACTTGACGCGCACCAGATCTGGTGGCATAGATTTCAAATCAAAACAGAATAAGCAGAAATCACATCCAGACCCCACGCTGACTTAGAGATCTGGAAAAACTGCTCGTACTGTCTTCCAACCGAGCTTGGTGCCTATATCCATCTTATTTCTAGACGGTGGATCCGCTGGGTTGGCGTCTGTCGACACCCGGTCCAGATAGGCAAGAGCTCTGATCTCTAGAGCTAACTGCCAAAATACGCCCGTGAGCTCACACATATCCTCTTTGGAGGAATAGCCCTTTACGAGCGCACCAAGAACCGGTTCAGAATCAATAAATATCAAAATCCACGAACCCAAAATCAAATCCCGAAAAGAAGCGAGCGCGACAACGACCGCGAACATTTCCACCATGGCGATCTGTGACTTTCGGGGCAGCCATTTCTGAATGAGCCGCTCCGGCACGCGAGCGCCAAACTGCAGTGGTGTGCGACCTATGCCAAGAAGAACCCCACCGATCCAGGGGTACTCCAGGCTGTCTTCTCGCTCATCAGGAAAACTACCATCCGTGAAAATGACAAAATCAGCTTTCTTTTCAGTGATCAATTCAATTGGCCGAGCTGGGCCTTTTTGGATCAAGTGCCGCCATTCGTTCAAGGCGAGTCTGATCGGCTTATTCAAAGAGAGAGCGGGCACCCTAGAGTACTGTCGCTCAGACAGCGCTCTGAGAAATGCCCTGCCGACTTTCCCCCAGAGCTGGGACGAGCCGAACATGAGTTTGCCACGCAGTTTCCCTGCCTGACCTGGAGATAAAACTCTCGAACTCAGAATTCCGTCGATCTCGTCAACTAGCTCGGATTTACGGCTCTCTTTGATCAACAGTTTCATGTTTGATAAATCATAGGTTACGCCTAAAATGGTGGGAGCTGTCGTCTTCTGAAGTTTCTTCTGGTCGAACCTAGCTCCCAACCACAGGTGAACTGCTTGCGCCGCAGTAAAGGCCGAGTCGATCGTTTCAGACGGCTCGAACCCGTACTTATCATCGTAAAAATTGAACGCGGCAACAGCAAACACCCTCCTAAGGATATCCGTAATCAGTGCAGACCTACGGTTGTAGTTATACACTGCGGACACCAATCCGAAAGAGTGTCCTATCATTACGAAGAAACTAACCCTGCCTGAACTAGGCTCCCTCAGAGAGATCACGCTCCATTTGCGGTGTGCCGGATCAATGGGCACCTGCCTATAAGCTTTTCTCTCGTCCAGTACCCAGCCCTCCAAGGATCTCTGACCCACCTGCGAGCGCAGCCATCTGATCGCTGCCACATTCGTGTCCGTCGATGGCAGATCCAGTTTCTCCGTGATTTTGGTTGCCACGTTGATCCCGTTGATCGTGGCGCTGTCCACTCCCCTGACCTTGTTTTTCTGAACGACCTCAAATCTTTGTGTAGGTATCCAGGGGGTGCCCACGATCTTGCTTACTTCTTCTTTTGAGAAAAATGGACCTAGGGTGACCCCTTCTGCTACATCCTCCATGGTGGCATCCCAAACTTTCTGGGTGTTTTCAGTGACTTCGCATTTACGAACGTTAGCCACAACTCTTGCAGAAAAGTCCCAGGCCCGTTTCTCTAGCTCATGGAGCTGCAGAACTGTTTGTTCTTTATCGAAAGGACCCCACCGATTGGAAGGTGTGATACTCCCGACAATTGGCAGTCCTGTGAGCATCTGATCCACGAGCTTGGCATCCACGGATCGCGCAGCTGCGGCGAGTTCGCGCCAAAGAGCAATGTGAGTGCATGTTCCCAGCGCGACAGGCTTCCCATCATCTGCACCTCGGAGCAAGCGCCGCAGCCAAGGATCAGGTATTGCGGAGAGCTCGTGATCTGTGTGAGGGAGTAGAGCCACCGCGCGATGCTCCCAGTAGTGCAAGGCGCGACACCGATGCGTGACCACCCATTCAGGATGAAGAGCTGTAAGAGCCAGCGCTTCTTGCAGATCAGGCTCCAGCGCTGGTGCCCGGGAAAACGGGTGGATGGTGTTGAGGGCGATCTTCACTGCTTCGCCTGGTTCGAACTCGGCCACCGGCAATGGCGGGAGCACAGACTTCTTGAGTTGGTAGCCCGCACCAACCGCCTTGTGACCGGAACTTTCTTGTCGGTGAGCCGACCACGGGGTTGGTTGTCCGAGCGGCCTTTTTCGATCAGCGGCCGGTGTGGTCATAGTGAACGTCTTGGCATTGGGATCGGAGTCGGAACCCAAGGCAGCCGCCCACTGGCGGCACAGTTCAGAGGGATATACTTGAGCTCGTTTGGTTTTGAACTGTCGCCGACCTTGGACCATCTCCGTGCCGACCAGAGGATCATGGTTGTGAGGTCGAACTGACATGTCACATCGTTGAGCCAAAGAGTCGAGCGCAGCCGTGGTGAGGAGCGCGGTTGGCTTCATGTGTGGGGAACCAAATCGGCACATGTCGAGCTCGATGCGACGACCTGAGATTGCCAGCTCCTGCAGTGGCGGCATGGCCCAAAGGTATGAACCTAAAGGATTCTCCACGGACCACTTGGCGCCGTGCTTTTGGCACTGGTGAATCAGATCCGCTGTGAGCTGCATGAGTTGATTGCCGATGTCGACCTTCAGCTGATCAGCCGGCTTCAGACCGGGCAGTCCAAACAATGCTTGCGGCGAGCGCAAAGGAGGAGGACCACCATCGGCCTTGCGAGCCAGGCTGAAAGACGAACAAGGCGTGCCGAAATGGATGTAGGTGATGTAGCCCTCTGTGAGCAACATTCGCACATGTAGGAGAACTCGATCATCTGTGATATCTGTGGAGAAAGGAACGAACTGATTCTTTTCCAGCTCGATCGGAGGGAGGCAGGCAAATCCGGCGTTGCGCATGGCGCGCGTGAGCACGGCCTCGCCTGCGAAAATTTCCAGGAAAAATTGTCCACGTGGTGGTCTGCGCATGGAGCCCCAAAAAGGACCAGAACTGGTCATGTCGACATCCTCTGTCGAGCAGTCATGCGTCCCAAAGTCCTTTGGAGCGAGCGCAGCAACTGGAGCAACTCAGTGGTTGCCCACCATGGAGTGAGCTTGTCCGCAGTCCATGCACAGGTGCTTGAACCTGCACTTGTCCCCGAGCGAGCACCCCATGGAGGAGTTGTAGTAGTGGCACCTCTTGGCACCCTTGACAGACTGAGCCGCCTTGGTGATCGACTTCCACTCTGAGTCTGGGATGCGCTTGTCACGATCTGCTGCGCTGCCGGCTTTGTCTGGCTTGATCGACTTGTTTGCACTGGTGGCCTTGGCCTTGGCGAGCTCCTCTCGCAAGCGCTCGAGCTTTCTTTTCCGCTTTGCCGACTTGGGAGAAGACGTCTTGTCGATGGCATCTGTGGCAACCCGATCAGACTGAGCTTGCTCATGTTCTTTTCGGGGATCAACCCGAGAGAGGAGAGCCTTCGTTCTGGCATCGTTCCAGAGATATTTGTGGTTGGTGAGGACCTCTTTGAGCGCAGCTTCATATGAGCTGTACTTCTCTCTCTGCTCTGCTTGTAGTCGGAAGGCTTTCTTGCGGATGAGCGTATCTGCCATCATCACGAACGGCAAACTTGGACATTCCACTCGAAATTGCTCGAGCTGTTGCAGGTAGTCGAGCGGACCTGCTGCCTTGGAGTAAGAACAAATGTTGAGGAAGTCCAAGGCCATGAAAAACGCATGGATCCTGTTCATGAGAACATGCACGTCAGTGACTGCTTCTGGTTCGTCGGCCTTGGATACTGTGAGCAAGTCCTCGGCGTTCTTGGTGAGCCCAGACTTCTGAACTATGGTGTCTGCTCTGGTGCGAACCTCCGACATGGTGTAGAAAGGCACCATTCCGTTGACTAAATAGTCACGGTTGAGCTTCTCAACGAACTTCTTGTGAGGTTCCTTAGAATCGATGAGGATCACATCAGGATGAGCCCGAACGAAGCGCGACCGAAATTCAGCATGGTCCTCTTGAGCTAATTCGGGGATCTTGTTTGGATCCTCTTCCATGCGAGCTCGACGACTAGCAAACTGCGTCTGCAGAGCTTGACATGCCAGCCATACTGCAGCGAGCTGCATGACGGCGAGATCTCTCGCACCACCAGTAGACCCTAGTTGGTCGGCCGGGATGAGCGCTCTGATGCCTTCTTTGGCGTGAGCTGCTGAATCGCCCAGCATGGCGAAGATCTCGACCGACAAGAGACCGTTGTTAGCAGCGGCCCGGCATAGATCCTCACTCAGTGCATGTCGAGCGAAGATCTGCCTCAAGGCAATCTTCGGTGTTCGATCCTCGCTATCATACGTGGTGCGATCGACCATCGCAACTTGCGATCTCAGGAAGGGCCAAGATCTTGCGTGGCACCAAAAATTGACGGGAATAAAATCATGACATGACTGGTAAACACTGAAATGAAAAAGGGCACATGAGGATCGCAACAAGAAAATCATCGCCATCAAATCAAATCGAAATTCCCGATCCGCGGCCGAATCCGAACGAGTCGAAAGACCGCGCATTCGGTTTTCTCTCCGGCGGAAAAAGGGGGGATGGTACCTATGAGTTGGCAGCCTGCAACTTACTCTGGCAGTGCTGGCATACCATACCGGGTGCGATCGATCCGAACGACACCACATCATCTAAAGACAACCTGCCGCACAGAGTGTGCGTCGAGTTTACCACAGACTGTTTTATGTGGTATCGCAGATCAGATGCCACCAACGCACGCGGGGGCAAGGAGCTCTTAACCACGTATTCGCAAGGAGAGGGTTCGACGACATCGTCATCGTCCTCCACCTCGAAATGGTTCTGATCTGGGACCCATTCCGCTCGGATACGAGCAGCTAGGTCCTGGACCATACGTATGGAGAGCTCTTTGCGCTGTCTAGCGTACTTGAGCACCAATTGGCTGGGATCTTTCCAATTGGCTTGTAATCCTATGATCTTGTCATCCACCTGCGAGGTCACCGCGGCGGACAACAGAGTGGCTCTCATGGAGTGCCACGTGATCTCCATCGTAGAAGACCTGGCTTCTTCAGCCTGGCCTTCAGTTATGACCCCATCCATTTGTGCTACGTCGATCGCGCAGCTTAGGAAATATCGGAGCCAGGGGATACTCTTCGGGTACGAGACCGGTGCGATATCGAACTCGGTTTCGCTTACCAGATCCCATATGAAAAAATCCCTATCTCCTATAAAAGGTTGAAAAATTTTCCAGCCTTCATCTAGCCATGCGATCCCCGACAACGAGCACCGCGGAACCGCGAATCGCGTTCCCCTTCGCTTGCGCTCTACCTTCGTTTGCCAGACCAGTCCCATGAGCGCATCCTCAGTGATCGTCAAAGAATTCGGAACCACATGGCGGCCGTCATCCCGCCTGAGCGAGGCATAAATGAGAATGAGGGTCCACCAGACAAAAATGGCTGCCGGGATCTTATCTTCGATGATGAGAGCATTCACTAGGTACTCAAGAGCAGCCACAGCAGGCAAGGGAACTGCAATGGCCTCCTTCAGTTCCTTGCCCCTGTCTTGGTAGACCTTCTCAATGATGGCCCCGATCGAGGGAGAATCAACTGAAGGGGGTTCCATGACCAGTCTCTTGCAGACCCACTTCACGGCATACTTGAGAGCTGGCAGAACCGATGGTCCACACCCTGAATTTTGAAGGTGAAGACAGTATCGCGCGAACACGGCATCGGTGAGGGGGTAAACGGAGAGCCCGACCGAACTAGCCCACTTCTCCATCTTTTCCCAAACCAACACGTTCACACGAATCGTGCGAAACGCACCCGAGCTGAAAACCATGGATCGAATTTCAGCCTGCTCCTCCGCTGATATTTGCTGGCCGGGAAGCGGCTTGCTGATGAGCGCATGATCTCCAGCTCTCATTGCGATCGCTTTGAGCCTTGCGGCCCATCGGATCTTCTCTTTCTGTTCTTCTGACTTCAAAGATGTGACTTCTTCACTTGCTGGGATCATCTTGGGTTTCTTGACCGAGGGAACAGCCGGATCCAGGAGGCCATGCCTACGGGGCGGATCTACCCTGCTGGCTGGCCTAACCGCCGACCCTTCCCCAAAACCCAAATCAGCGGCGATCTCTCCCATGATCTTGTCCCGCGATTGGTGCACAAGACTGAACAGGAGAGGCACCAGTTCGATCTGTCTCAACACCGCATCCCGATCCTCCTGGTCGCCCCCCATAGCGACGAGCATCCGTGCGATCTGCTCATCTGGCCCTTCGCTGTCGTCCAGTGCCAGCCAAAACCCGGATCTCCCAAGTCCCAGCTTGCAAAGAGCGCGCACGAACGGCTCGTCAAAAACCGGCAGCTGAAGGAAAGCTGCGAGCGAGCGATCCATGGGACCGAGACGAGATGAAGAAAATATTACGATCCTGTCTAATGACATGAACATGTCATTGGCGTCAGGAATCGTGAACATACGCATGAACCTCGAATGAACGTGGACCGGTCCCGCGCGCGAACGCCCGCTCGAACCAAAGACCGCGCTGCGAACGCAACGAAACGATCCCCCGAGCACGCGCGTCGAACGACGAGGTCCCCCGTCCAAACGCTCGGAACCTGCTGTGGTGAGGAGGCCAGGGATCTTGGCCCACCTCCGCCATCCTGGCGATCGTGCCGACACTGATCAGTGTTCAAGCGAACCGCTTGGAGTAAATCGAACTCGAACGTGATCGTGATCCGGATCTTATATACATATATGTATATAAGAAATTGAGGGTTTTATCGCTTATTACAGAAAAATGAAAAATCAATCACATAAGATCTAAACCTATTGCTGCATGAACGGTCATATATCACGAGGACCGAGCGAACGGCCGATAGGATGTTCAGGCGTGATCCAACCCGAACCACCTGCCCAGTCGGATGAACTGGTCGGCCGCCTCCATCGGTTTTCCTCCACTCCAAAAAGCTCCCGGGTCGACCGGGTGAAAAACAAGGGGAAACCTGATCCGGCTTCGTGCGCATTTCATCAGCGCACTACTGCAGATCCGACTGGCCTGGCCGCAAGGATGCTGGCTCTGTCCCTGGCGTTGTGGCCTGAACAGGCTCTTGCCTCAATGGCGGCTCGGCCCTTGGTGGGAGCTCTAAATCTCCTGGAGGGAGCTCCTCGATGGTAGCAGTGGTCTCGTTGAACACATGGGACCGGATCTGTGTGGCGAAAACAGCCGGCGTGACCTGCGCCGAAGATCTTGCATACCTCCTATCATTTCTCGCCTGATCTCGAGCCTCATCTTCGATGTGGTCGGTCGAGCGTGTCGGCGGTGCATTGAAAGATCTCTTCGACAGCTCGTAGTCTGCCTGAGCTGTCACAGACAGCCCTGGCTGATCCGCCTTTGCCCTTGTGTTGGCTTCTTCAGCCGCATGCTTCCACGCGCCACCAGTCAAAGCCGGCGGTCCTGCTGGAGCCATCCTGCTGGAGCCAGCATGCTGCATTTCGGCCAAAGCATTGGGGTTTACGATCTCCGGCTGCACCACCAAGAGCTTGGACGTGCAGGTGATGTGGAAGTTCCCCGCGTCGAGATTTCCGATGAAGTCGACGGTGGATCCCACTTCGCTCTGGTTCTTGGCGACCGCCGCATGGAACCAATGCTCATGAACAGCTGCTAGCTGACCGAACTGCTCAGTGTGCTCTGGACCTTCAACCCTGGCACGAGCCTGCCTGACATTCTGGATGGTCTGAATGAGCGTAGGTCCAGAGATGTGAGAAACGGTGAGCCACGTGCCAGGTACTGACGTTCTCTGGCACTTGAGATCCAGTCTGTTGTTGGCATCCCTGAACCGGAACTCGACCCTATCAGCATCGTTGCCCATCGCATCTTGTGACGATCGGTTGCACACTCGCAATTCGAAACGCGAGCGCGCATGATCGCCAGCGACCACTGCTCCATTCGGCCCGACAGAGTAAGTTCGTCCTCCACACTCGAACGAGAACACCGTGACCCTCCAGCCCACAAAGCTAGCCACCACGACGAGAGGCGCGGCTTGCCTCTGTTGGCCTCTCTCACGAGCACCTCATCGACGAACTGCTGCTGGACTGTGAGATCCGTGTCTGCCCTGTATCCACGAAAGATCCAATGGAACAGAACTTCGTTGCCGTTGTACACCTTGACATCGGTGTACGATGCAGACGTGTCCCTGAGCAACGGCCATGAAAAAGGTTGGAATGCAGGGTGGCTGAGAGCCTCAGCCGTCTCTCGATCCCAGCCCGCATTCATTGCCCCAGTCTCTGTGTCCAAGGCGATCACGACCACAGCTTTGATTCCATCGAGGGTGTAATTCCCGAACAGGGACAAGTGGAACCCCGAGTTTGGCGGCATGACCTGATCACGTTCCGTCAGCACGTTGATGGAACTCGCAGAGTTTGCCATGATCTCACGAGGTAGCCATCCCTGAAAAGGGGATACCATGCGAAGGTCCCGATCATCAATCATGACGATCGAGTTCTCAGCCATGTTGTCCTCATTGTATTCGAGCCACTCCAGGAATTTTGGGAGCTTGACTTCGAAGGGGTTGTGAGCCGCGTTGGCTCCTCCTGAGCTGAACGTAGCTCCCTGTGAGCCCCATCCACCACCGCCACGGCCGCTCCAGTGACCACCACCTCCACGGTAGCCCATGGAAATCACCCAGGCCCGACGGCGAACGCCGTGAAAAGCGTTCAAAAAGGATGGTAGAGCTCCTTGAGCCAAAATGGCATGATCATGCCATCGGCTCAAATAGAAAGAACGAGTGAGTTGACCTGAACTCTGAAATTGACCTGCTTATCCCTAACCAACCAGACCGATGATAAGCTGACATGATCCAGGTATATTTCTACATTACATTTTGTGGCCAGCGACCATAAACAGTATTCGACACACGTGCATTCGCAAAATACCCTTGAACATCCTTGAACCATCTACTGTACCAACATCGTGTTCATCAAAAATCTCGAGGATGTTTGGGCCTCGGGTATGCATTGGGTAAACACAAGAAATACCACAGTTCGAATCAAACAAATGTCAGCCTTTCAATGGCCCAATCCACGGTCCAATTCACGTCGTCCCCACCGGTCGCCTGAGAGAACCCGTGTTTTTGAGGTTCCATGCGCCACGTTCCGCTGCAGCTTCCGCAAGAGCCTCGACGGCGGCACGAGGCCGGAAGCGCTGAGACGACTGGCTGGACGGGCGTTTTCGACCAAAGGCGCTCATCAAACACCTGTGTTTGATGTGAGATAAGGTAAAGTGGATGTTTGGATAAAGCCCTGTCTTGTGCTCTGTTTGCTTGAAGTCACTGGAGTGCGACACTTGTTGTAATGGTTTTTGGCACTTGAGTATAACATCCTAAAACTGAAGGCATGAAGCTCATCACGCGCATGCTCAGTTCACATGCTTAGACGCTTAGACGAGGTCGTCTGCCACATTTCAAAAAGGATGGTAGAGCTCCTTGAGCCAAAATGGCATGATCATGCCATCGGCTCAAATAGAAAGAACGAGTGAGTTGACCTGAACTCTGAAATTGACCTGCTTATCCCTAACCAACCAGACCGATGATAAGCTGACTCATCCCAACGCCTTTGAAGCCTCACCACATGCCTGTCCAGGCACTTGTATTCCAATGGCTTCAGGATTGCCCATGCTCCTGGGAGAGCAATTTCTCGCATCCGGTGCATCCATGGCATTGTCAAAGGCGTCGAAGCACTTCCTTGAGAGCGATGAAGGCGTCATCAGGCGTCGTCATCAGCGCCACATTGAAAACTGCAGATGGTTCGCCTTTCTAAAAATACACATACAGGATGTGCATAAAGAAGGAACCATTGTTCCCATCCCCGTGAACTGTGGGAACCCACAGGCCGGGAGAGTCACAGGCATGCTGCCCAGAAGATGGAGTGTGTTGACTTGATAGTGGTCCTTGTGGAAAACATGCAGATAGTGGTGGTCCTGCCGTTGGAAGACCCAAAGGTCACCTGGCCTGTTGGTGGTCATCTTCCGCCGGTGAAATTTCTGCATGGAAAACATCTGAATGCATCAGATTCCTTTCGAATTAAGCTTGACAAACACCAACAGAATACATATCTGAGGGTAATCCTATTTGGATACACTCACGACGTATTTCATGCATAGGCGTAGTTACACATATTTCAAACTTTTACATGCTTTAGATTTCTACTATCCGCTTTAGATCTTTAGATGATTTCACTGCTCAGTCTCGGGATCTGACTGCACCTCAAATGGCCCATGCCCAACCAAAGCACCTAGCGAACGGCACCAGCCATCTCGGCAATCTCCGAGCGCAGCTCAAATACAAGACTGCAGCGAAGGGAATTCGCATCTCAATCCAAGCTTTTCTGGCTGTTCCACTCTGATTGCCTTGCCTGATCTTTCACCGGAAACGCCAAGACCCTCAGCTTACAACAACCAAACTATATAACCAAACAGAGAGCTCTGGCATCGTTTCGTTCGGTCAATACATTCCAATCCTTCCCACACACACGCTCAAACCGGCTCGGTCAGCCTCAGGGTGTCGCGTCGCGTCATCCTCGGCTGGTCATCCAGCGACACCGGACTCTGCCCGGCCCAAGGCACTGGACCTGCAGAAGGAACGCTGGCGCTGGCAACGCTGGAAGCAGCGTTCGTTAGGTATATTAATGTCAAGGTATGTCCTATCAACGGCTAGGGCAAATCATTTGCGTTGATCACACATGTATTGCACCCAGATGGTTCGCTGCTCAATGCAAGACTGGCGGGTAGCCCCAGGCCCGGTAGACCTGAGGAGACTTACTCAGCGAACCTTGACGTCCCCGGTTCGCCAACGGCCCGGAAGGGCTCAAGAAGTCGGTACAGAAGGTGGTCTGGAGAAGGTGATGGTCGGGGGGTTCAGTGGAAAACCACTCATCTCAGTCTCTGAATTTTTGGGTGCCTTTTTGGAAAACGCCGGGTTCTGCACTGCTTTCAGCAGTGGAGCCCATGCTCTCAGGGTGCTTGAGAACATCACCCTGCTCTCAGGGGGGTGCGCAAATGGTCGTGCTGCAGTACTCCATACTTGCATCACGACAAGACACGTCAGGATCGACATGTCTCCGCAGGCAGTGTGCATTTGGGATGCACAGGTCCTCTAAAAGGGGAACCAAAATTGGGGATAGTGACGCTTGGCCACCAGGTTGTTGGTGATGCAGCCGATGAGCACCAGAATCACGGTGCCCAGGAAGGATGGTGTCAGCACCTCAGAAAAGGATGAGACAGCAGCGAAGGGGTAGATTAGATGGCCTCCAACCTGAGAGCAATGGCCTCCACCCTAGTAGCGATGGCCTCCAACCTAAGAGCGATGGTTCTATCTTGGGTGTTTCGAAGGCACTGATTTCTTTCTTGATGAAGTCAGACTCACGAGAGTCCTGAAGACTAACAATGAGAGGACTACTCAAACAAAACTGGAAAAATGTACAATTCTTTACTTTCATCGTCTTGAAATGTACAAAGCACGTTCATCCTACTCATCGTCGTCTTCGTCGTCTGAGCTTTCCACATACATGAACTCGAACTTGTGAAGCATTGGCACGATCTCGAAGAGAAGAGCCGTCGCACCGCCAGGGGGATGCACGGTGTTGGTGATCTCCTGCACCCGTGAACCGAAGGCCCCTGGTTCCAATGGGGCCTTGTGTGAAAGAACACCCAAACACTCCCAGCGGCTGCCACTTCTGAAACCTGGAATGCCTTTTCACACCAACCTACAGTATAAAGCTGGCTGGTTGCTGCATCTGATGCGTTGCTGATGACATAAACGGATGCAGAACACCAAAGAGATCGCGCACAACACCGGCGCTGGGCGTCTTTACGCGTGTGGTGGCGTGGTCGCCTGGACCAGGATGGTCAAAGCCACAGCGAGCGCTGCACCAAACCAGACATGTTGTCCCAAACCAAAGGCCTGCAGAAAGTTGTAGACCTAGGCGTTCAATCTGTCCAAAAAGGGGTCTCTTAAGGTTCACAACAAAAAGAAACGAAACATGACCTGTCCTTTCGAGATTAAATTGACCTGTGACTTCTTGGATGCTGATGAAACAAAAAGAAGGGTCAGTGAGGTCAGTGGCCTCTACAGCCGACAAAACTTCGACGCGGATCGCGTCCCTGGGGGATGGACACAGACGCCCACCAGTCCGCCCAAGGTGTTGCCGATGATCGCATTCTTCGGCTGAGCAAAGGGCACCTCGAAGAAGAAAAAAGAACAGCAAAGAACGGCTACGCCCTGAAAAAGGTGATCGGCCAACACCTTGAAATGTTGATTCGCCAAACAATGGAAATGTTGAACACCTTGAAAGACTAGCTCATTCTTTGAAGGCCATTGGACTGCCGTGTTCATCGAACGTTCCTGCCAGTGCCAGTGCCAGTCTCTTAGACAAACCAGAAAAAGAGCAACAAAGAACCATGACAACCGTGTAGTGCCTCATGCCAACCGGGCCCCTCACTTTCCAAGCGGAGAAGATGATGACCGACATGGCACCAAAGGCTCCAATCAGCAGAGTCTCATGCATCATGGGGATGATGACATAGGCATGCAGCAATCCCAGTGTGGCCACACCAACAAAGGCGCCCAAGAAACTGCACCAGGTTTGAGCAAGGGGAGGGAAAGCAGCAGGAAGTGGTTTCGCCTCACGCAGGAGAACTTGGAAGGCGACTTTGCCAGGCAAGACATGTGCCTTAAAGCTAAGCTGGTCAAAATCAAACACTGAAAATCAAGCGATCTGCACAAGCTTTGGAGGAGGTTTCCTGTGTCTTGGCTTCTTAATGGGTTTTATTCAAATTTGCAAGGTGAATCGCTGCAAATTTGAATGCGGACTAAGCCTTAAACGAACAACAAAAAAGCTTGTCAGCAGCACAACAGTCTCTTTGCCCCGCGCCTTTGCACCTTGGAACTTCTTAAAGTACCTGCCCAGCAGGGTCTCCGGCTCGCTCTCCTCCGACTCCGCTTCTTCTGCAGAAGGCCACCAGTACTGAGGGTAGACCCGGTCAGAAGACAAGTTGTTGGTCACACAGGCCACGGCCACCATAATGACTGCACCCAGAAAGGAGGGGCAAAGAACAAACCAATACCTGGAGCAGGACAGCGTGCTGGAAAACTTCCAAAGCGCTAGATATAGCCCCAGTCATCCAAAAGGATAGGCAGAACAATTAGGAAGGATTGTTCAAAAGAGTGGCCGTATTCCTTATGGTACTCGATTGTCGCATGATTCTTTCCACATTACCGTAGCTATCCGGATGAAGATAAATACATCCAAGTGTTTGTGTGTGCCCTATTTTTTGGCTCTCTTTTTTGGACACCGAGACCTCAAATGCTGGACGGGAGGTGTGATCACGTAAATCAAGGCAGTGGCACCCCCTGGGGGATGGACGGTGCCAGTGATCTCTTGCGCCACGATCGTGAGGGAGACTGCAAGTGCAGCGCCCAGCCACAGCATCTGTTGAAGGCCTAGCAAAGCCATGGATTCGAAGACTACCACACCAACGAGTCCACCAATGGTGTTGCCAATGATCACATTCTTGGGCTGTGCCACTGGAGTCTTGAATCCGCTGAAAAGAATCACGGACATCGCACCAAAGGAGCCCACCAAGAGTGCCATGTTGGCTTCTGGCATCATCACATAGGTGTGCAGCAAGCCGATGGCGCTCATTCCCACGAAAGCCCCAAGGAAACTGAAGCTGCTGTAGTACAGGGAGAGCTGTGGTGGTGGCTCCTCACCTGCTCCCAACATCTTCTCAAAGTAGCTGGGTGTCGCTTCTGCCACGATCACTTCCTTCAAAGGCTCTCCTTGCTCCAAGGCCAACTCGTTCACCGGCTTCATCTCGTGGTAAGCCTTGGAGTTCGCAACATTTGCCATGGTGCCTTGGGAAACGATGTCTCGGCTGCTCCTGGTTCCAAATTCGGGCCTAAAGGGCTTTGCATGCGGCTAGCAGTGGCTTCAGACGCAGCTCACACCCTACGGAAGTGGATAACCTTTGAGTTGTTGAAACAGCGAACAATGCTTACCATCTGTAGGATGGGGATGTCCGAATTCTAGTTGGCTGAACAACTGAACACACTAAATGGAGAAAAATGTATGCTGGGCTGCGTCAAAAGTAACTGCTAAGTACTAGTAGCTCTCTTAACCAGTTGTCATCTAATCTAAGACTCTCCTCTTTGCCACATCTAAATCCGATCAGAAAGCTAGGCTATTTGGCCGGTTAGTCGAAGATCTGGTTTCACGATTCGCACGGCACGAGCGGAACCGCTGCCAGTGACCCCCAGTGACGCCTGTGGGAGTCTTTAGTGTGACCCAGTGACTGCAAAGTCACGGGGCACCTGGCAAGAGTCTTTGCTGGACAGGGACTGGGCAGAATTCAGGTGAGCACCCAGGAAGCCTTAAGGCCTGAAGGCGGCCTGAAGGGTAGAAACGATCTCTAACCTTCTCCAACTAATTAAAATCCAGACAAGTCCAAATCCCAAATCATGTGTCCCAAATCCTAACTCAACGAAGGTGCCGCAAAACCATCCAAAAAAAGGTCCATGGAAGTTCGACGATTCTGCACTCGACCTCCTCCTCCATCCGTCCACCCCACCTGAATAAAAACAGGGAGGAAGAAGGGGAAATGATCCATGTGACTTATTGAATTCTTTGATTGCACCTGTTTCTGGGATACAACTCCGTGCAACAGCTCGGTTTTCTCGGGGACCGAAGTCGATGGCTGACCGGTCGAGTGCAATAACACCACGCCCGACTTAGCGGTTCCCGGCGTGCTCGTCGCACCTTAGCCCAGCGTGTCGCCCGGCTCGGAAGCTGCTAGGCTGCCAGGTCGTAGGTGACCGACAGCTCTGCAGCGGTTCTGGGAGGCCGTCACCGGACACGACCCCGGTGAAACCACCGGAGCTTCTGATATCCTTGAGGAGTCACCGGAAGGGGGGGGGGAGAAAACGATGGAAATACGCTGAAATCATCATGGAAGTGGATAGGCACCAAGCATATACACATATATACATGTATATATACCCTAAGGATCCGCACCCTCAAAAACAAGGGTTTTGAGGGTACAAACATATACAAACCCTTGTTATAGAGGGTTCGACCCCTTCTAAGGAGGTTCCAAGGATCCTTAGGGTAGCAGAGAAGGATCATCCTTTGGGGGCCATCAACGTTGGCCCATGATTCGAGGAGGGTTTTTCATCCGGCAGGTGAGTCTTTCATTCCTCAACAAGGTGAGCATGAAAACAAGGCATATTGTTTGCGTGCACACACGAAACAGGCCGAGGCCAAACACCATCTGCTGCCTCAAGTTTCACCATACATACTGCCAAAAATATGTATGGAACATTCAGCATTTTTCTCTGCAAGTGCTTGCTTCATTGTTGATTTTCAAGAATATCGTGATATTGTTGGGGGCACTTGTTGCTTCACTTAGTGCAGCCAGTTGGAAATCGGCGTTCATCTTTTCAGCCAAAACTTACAACTGAATGACCGTACAACTGTACAACCGATAATACCATGCAACTCATCATTGCAAACCTCCTTGCAATGCCGATGCGAGGCCTTTTGACATGTTTTCCTCTGCTTAGACCTGACCATAGGAACCCCGCAGAGCATCCGAAGCCGCACCAGCAGTGAATAATTTTTCGTGTCTGTTGAGTTCCTATGCCAAACCGTGTCCATTAAAAGGCCTAAGCCTAGCCAACCCATTCCGAGGGCAACTGAAAAAGGAATCTGAAACTATACAACATACAAATAGATTTTACTGTAGCTGGATCGGATGAATTGAGTAAGGATGGCCAGCACTATCAATCCTCAGGCAATGACTGAAATTGATCATTCTTGAAAGTGGCCTTTTGTATTCCACCTTCCAACCTTACCACATCCCTGTCCATGCGGGCTTGGACTAGTAGAAATAGAGGCTCTCTACAGCTCTTGACGCTTTGCCCCGGTGCCTGCTGAAGAGCAAAAGGTACATCCATGGCATTCTGCAACCACTTCCTTGATGAGGCACAGCCATGGATGCCAATCAGACGCCCATGGACGCCATCCTCGAGGTCTTCGGAGCCAAAAACCACAAAGCACTTGGAGCTGCACACCAAAGAGTGGAGATCATCAGGTGTCCATTTTTTCGCGCTTGACATTTCTAGGTGAACAGCTCGGTTTTCTCGGAGACCGAAGTCGATGGCTGACCGGTCGAGTGCAATAACACCACGCCCGACTTAGCGGTTCCCGGCGTGCTCGTCGCACCTTAGCCCAGCGTGTCGCCCGGCTCGGAAGCTGCTAGGCTGCCAGGTCGCTCAGGCTCACGCCAAAAACTGCATTACAACCCCTGCGCCATCCTACATACTGAAGTTTATTCATGTCAGTGGTTGGGGCTCTTGTTTTGTTAGATGCAAATTCGCGCCAAAAGGAATGCAAATTATTTTTTATAGACATGTGGCGTTTGTCCAATAGATCGTAAGGCTGGACTACTCTTCATGCAACAGGCCCGAGTTCAAACTGCAGTTTTGCGGGCAATTTTTGTTTGCACAAAATCTAAACATAACACAAAGTGCATTCAAACGTTTTTTGGTGCATTTGACAAAACACATCTCCAGTCATATCCCGGTTTTGACTGTGTCTGGATGTCCTGATCAACAGTGTCCGACTCAATACGAATGTTCACATACAATAAAACAGGCGGGAATTCGTTAAATGGCTGCATGATTCCATCCAGGGACGTTGATTTGGTTGAACAAACGACATGGAACGCTTAAAATGTTAGTTCCCATTTTTGTTGTCCTCATGGAACCGAACAAGAGCTTCATCATTGTCACCATCATCATCATCATCATTATCGTCCAACACACCAAATCCAGTGAAAGGTCTTCACACCGCAATCTAGTTGGAACCTGCCCTCCCACCGGATGAAAAAATCAAATCTAAGGAGGTATGAGTTGGGGTGCGAAGCAAGCGGACCTTTTCCACCTGCTCAGCTTGAGCCAAACCGTTTGGTTGGCGAAGTTCATCAACAGCTCGAATCGAAATGCTCGATCGAAAGCGAAAATGCTCATGAGGTGCATGGTTTGTCTCCCACACTCCCCCTGCAGTGCGTCACTGCACATTCCATGGCCAAAAGACCTTTTCGGTCAGCCGTTCAGTTTTCAAGAAGCTCATAGCTTCCATCAGAATCCCACTCCTCATTCACGGGCATGGGACCCTGGCCAGCACGAGCAGCGGGCGTGGCGCCCTCACTTCCAGCCGCGGGCCTGGAGCCCTCACTTGGTCTTGCAGCGCCGGCAGGGCGCGAGCTCCGAGCCACAGGCATTTGGATGCCCAACCATTGAGGCGTTGCTTCATCCGGCAAGTTAGGATGCAGGGCAAGCAAATGATCACATGGATGATAGAACCAGAGCGCCCATGGCCTTCACACAGGCCAACGCGGACTGGCTCTCAGACGATGGCCGTGCTCTTTTCGTTGAGGGCACTCAAGTTTGTGCCTCAAAGGCTCAAGAGGATGCTTATGCAGCCTTGGCCATGCCTGATCACCTTAGCAGTCCTTTTGGTCTCGACTCAGCCCAACCTGCTCTCAAGCTGTCGGATGTTCGTGCACAGCCACCCACACAGGACAAGGGTTATGACACTGATGAGACAGAAGGGGACTTGCCAGACATGACTGCTATCATCCATACGCTGATGTTGCATCGGGAGCTCATCACGAGTAATCAGATGATCTACCTAATTGTGGATAATCGTAAGCCTGACGCTGTCCCGCGTTGGCCTGCCTTTGCAGCCTGGTGGGCCTCGCGCCGATGCCTGGTAGGCCCCCAAGAAGAGGCAACTGATGTGCTGTGGTTTTGCGCAGATGCTACCACTGGCCTTCACAAGGTTCCCTACTAATGGGGAGGCGTGTTCGTGTTGGAAGGAGCCCGCTTCCTATACCGCACAGCATTTTGCACTCATTGATAATGACTGTGTGCCTGTCACACTCTTTGAAGTGCAAGATTTGATCGAACTGGCTCATCAGCAGCTCCAATGGGTTGACCTGCTAGGGCGCACACGGTCCGAGTCCCACACCTACCGAGGAATTGGAATGTTGCTCTTCACGGAGGCTCACTTGGAGTACAATGCAGGTCTGGTCATCTCGATTGGCAATCGCCACAAGAGCAGCCCGATGGAGAACGAGGCTAGCTCTGCAGTGCTGGCCAGGGATCTCCAAGCGTACCGCCTTGCATTAGTCTCCCGCGCCCGGCCACCCGTTACCCCGAGTGAGGCAGCTTTAACGGAACTATGTTCACTCCCTTTGTTGGAGTACCAATGCAAACTGCCCTTGATCTTTGCATAGTGTGGTCACTGTATGGACTATACATGTGTAAGAATTTCTAGCCTTGCCCTGCAGCGAGCCCTGCTGGGCTTGGCGAAGGTGGCACCCTCAAATGGCCTCGACAATCCCATCCACAGGCGCTCACTCCTGCTGGGCAAATGCGAACTCCATGGCTCACCAGCTGGGCTAGGGCTACTTTCGAGCAGGGGGTCTTGTCAGTGCTACCAATGTTAGAAGGGTCATGCACAGCTGCATCACTGCCAGGGGAACACTTGTTCCAAGCCAGTGCGCTGCCACGAAATAGAATGCGACCAGCCATATTCCATGCTTTCGGTAAGGCCAAAGTGGGAGCGCAGGCTGCTTTGCGCGACCTGGAGAAGCAAGGTTGGGAAACCCTACCAATGGCCATCTTAGGCATGCCTAACCTCCCGCCAGCTTGGTCGGCGGATACCTGGAAACCAATCGGGGGTTGCAAGTTCACAGGCTTTTGCCCTGGCATGGTCGGCAATAGTGCACTGCGTTTCTGTCTCTTGCTAAAGTGGCGAGCTGTTCACCCGCTGGCCTCAGAGCTTTT